AATATTTCTTGCCTTTCTGCTTTGGGTTGTCTAAGCGCTGACGTTATAAGATCGAATAAAATAGCCAAGGTCCCTGCCTTCGTTGAACTTACAAAGTACTGGGCTTAACAGGACAAAGAATAAATAATGACTCTCTAAAAGATGCACAGAAAAAAAATATGTCCAAAAAGACAAATAAATTTAGCAGGTACTGACTGTTCTTAACCTAAGGTTTGTAAAAAAAAAAATGGCAGGAAGGATGTTTTATGAACGGCCGTATTTTACTGCCTACAATGAAATCCATAGGTAGCAACCTCTCAAAATGTATTTGTCAGTTTACCGAATGAATGAATTTTAAAGTTTATAACGTAGACATCATTAAACTGACATCTTGGTAAGTGTTGCCGAATTGTTGCTCAGAAAAGTACTGATAGAATTTTTTTTTTAAAAAACAAACAAACATAGGATCAGGAAAATCTCCAGGTTTTTGGTGATTTCTATACCCTAATACTCAACTTAAGTCTGCTTATTATTTCTGTTTCTCTGACTTGGTAAAGCCTCCAGGAAATATTATCAACAGAAAACGTAACCCAGCTAAAAATCTGAATTAATAACATCATAGTTAACGTCTGTGTTATTTTCTATCTTGTTCGTTTGGTTTTACTAAAGACAGATGAACCTCGTCCTTGAGCTAATTCAGAGAAGTATAGTCCATGCCCTAATGGCAGAAAACTGCCGTTCACTGAGTGGATTTTTCAATAAATTGTAAATCAGTGATCAAATAAAGTTATTTATTCACCGACTTTGCGATCAATCTGAATATTTAAGTTTCAATTTGGCGGACTTCCCGCTCTGGAAGGTGGAAAAGAAGATGGAGTCACCGTTTCAGCTAAAACCATTTTTTTTTAAAAAAAATGGACAAGATCCTATGAAATTGGTCACTTAATTCACAGAATGTATGACAACAGTTCACAGAAAATGCTGTGTTTCAGGAAATCCGGGGCATTGGTAATTCCTAAGAAGCAAGAAATAAGTGGTGTGAGTTCTATGATTTCCCCAGCTTACTACCTCGAGAAAGTTTTAAGGCCAGGGCACAGAGACGGGAAATCCAGCGGTCTGGGGGGACAGTGGACTGGCCCCCTGTTTAAAAAGTTTGAGGACCCCTGCTCTAGAGTGTGCAAGGCATGGTACTGGATAGAAAAGAGCTGCACAGGCCGGGCGCGGTGGCTCACGCCTGTCATCCCAGCACTCTGGGAGGCCTAGGTGGTGGGAGGATAGCTCGAGGTCAGGAGTTCGAGACCAGCCTGAGCAAGAGCGAGACCCTCGTCTCTACTAAAAATAGAAAGAAATTAATCGGCCAACTAAAAATATATGGAAAAAATGAGCCGGGCGCGGTGGCTCACGCTTGTAATCCTAGCACTCTGGGAGGCCGAGGCTGGCGGATTGCTCAAGGTCAGGAGTTCAAAACCAGCCTGAGCGAGACCCCGTCTCTACTATAAAAATAGAAAGAAATTAATTGGCCAACTATAATTTATATATATAAATTAGCCAGGCATGGTGGCTCGTGCCTGTAGTCCCAGCAACTCGGGAGGCTGAGGCAGTAGGATCGCTTGAGGCTTGAGCCCAGGAGTTGGAGGTTGCTGTGAGCTAGGCTGACGCCACGGCACTCACTCTATCCTGGGCAAGAAAGCGAGACTTTGTCTCAAAAAAAAAAAAAAAATATATATATATATAAAAAATGAGCCGGGCGTGGTGGTGCATGCCTGTAGTCCCAGCTACTCAGGAGGAGGCTGAGGCAGGAGGATCGCTTGAGCCCAGGAGTTGGAGGTTGCTGTGAGCGAGGCTGATGCCACGGCACTCACTCTAGCCCGGGCAAAAAAAAAAAAAAAAAAAAAAATTGCACAGAGAGAGAACTTTATAGAGATCTTCAGAGGGTGCCCCTGGGTATTCAGTACACATGTGTGAGGAAGCTACTTGAGGAAGCAGAAAGATACACAAGAAAATATTGGAGGTAACAGTATTATCCAGTGCTCACCCAGAACTGGGAGCAATGAATATTTCCTATCAGCCACGAAAGCCTCATTTTTCACGCACATGGAGTACAGGACGAAGAAAGATCTCATCACGTAAAAGGGAACAATTAGCCCCAGACTGAACACTGTCCTTGTTCCACCTAACCAATCTTGAAAGCAAGACCCAAAAGAATCAAACTGTTTCCAGGTAACGTACCTGCATCCCCAAACCAAGCTCGAGACGATTTACGATTTATGGGAATACAAAAATATCAAGCACCCAACCAGGTAAAATGCACAATGCCTTGCACCGGATTAAAAATGAGCAAACTTGCAAAGAAAATGCAGGGCTATGCAAGCCGCAAAGAGGAGATAACCAATCAAAATTGAACCAGAACTGACACAGATGTTTGAATTAGAAAAAAACAAAAAGTTATTTTAACTATATATGCATACATACATACATATATATATATACACACATATATTCATTTATTTTAGCAAAATCATTTTTAATTGCTGCTTAGTATTCCATTCTAAGGAAGTATAACTTATCTGACCAAATCCCTATTTTGGGGGTAGTTAAAATGGTTTTCATTTTATCTATTCTAATTATTATTTTTTTTTTTTTTGAGACAGAGTCTCACTCTGTTGCTCAGGCTAGAGTGAGTGCCGTGGCGTCAGCCTCGCTTACAGCAACCTCCAACGCCTGGGCTCAAGCGATCCTCCTGCCTCAGCCTCCCCCGGAGTAGCTGGGAGTACAGGCATGCACCACCACGCCCCCTGGCTCATTTTTTTCTATATATTTTTAGTTGGCCAATTAATTTCTTTCTATTTATAGTAGAGACGGGGTCTCGCTCTTGCTCAGGCTGGCTTCGAACTCCTGACCTCAAGCAATCCTCCCGCCTCGGCCTCCCATAGTGCTGGGATGACAGCCGTGGGCCACCGCGCCCGGCCTTATAATTATTATTTTTTTTTAATGAACACACTTGCAGGTAATTCCTTGGATTCGTTCATGAGCAAATCCTTAGTACAAATTGCCAGAAGTTGAATTCTTAAAAGTTATTTTAACTATATATTCTGTGCATTCAAAGAGTGAAGTGGATATTTAAAAACCCAAATTGAACTTTGAAGGACGAACACTGCAACGTGTGAGGGTGAATCAACGACAAGAGTAGATACCGGTGAAGAAAAGATTAATGAACTGGAAGACACAACAGTAGAAATTATCCCAAATCAAACACACCGAGGGAAAAGAGAATTACAATAAGTGGGGCGTCCCTGAGCCGTGCAACTACTCCAAAATGTGTCGTCGGCATGCCTGGAGGAGAGGAGAGAGAAAAATAAAACACCTTTGAAGAAATAATGGCCCAAAGTCTTTAAAATTTGCTAAAAACTCATAAACTTGCACCGATTCAAGTAGCTCAGCGAACCCCAAGCACAGAAAATAAGAAGAAAACTACCCCACGGGCACCTCAATGATAAAACTGATGAAAACAGTCGACAAAGAGAAAAACCCTAAAGACAGAGAAAAAAATATAGAATAAGAATAACAAAAAAAAAAAAAAAGAGAAAAATAAAAGAAAAAGTAAGAATGGCAGCCAAGTTCTCACCGGAAACAGGAAGGAGGAGGGGGTTGGAGCTGCAGCTCCAAGATCCTGAAATTTATAAAGAAAAAAGTACGTGTCTCAAGTAGAATTTTTATACCCAGATAGTGTGTACGAATATTGATTTTTTAAAATGCTTTTCAGATGCTCCAAGTGGGAATAATTCATCTCCAGCACCGTAAGACACGTGGAAGGATAACCTACAGGCAGAAAGAAAACGACAAGGTGGAAATACAGAACCACACGGATAAATATATGTTTTGTTTCTTGTTGTTAACTGAAGTGCCCTTAAACTGTAATGGAGCAACTGGGGGCAGGGCTTAGGATGGGAGGGCAGGGCCTAGACCAGAGGGGTGGGGCATAGGCTGGAAGGGCGGGGCCTAGGCCAGCAGGGTAGGCCTTAGGCTGGAGGTGCGGGGCTTAGGCTGGAGGGGCAGGGCCTAGACCAGAGGGGCAGGGCTTGGCTGGAGGGGCGGGGCTTAGGCTGGAGGGGCGGGGCCTAGACCAGAGGGGCAGGGGCCTAGACCAAGGGGGCAGGGCTTAGGCCAGAGGGGTGGGACCTAGGGCGGAGGGGCGAGGCCTAGACCAGAGGGGCAGGGCCTAGGATGAAGGGGCGAGGCTTAGGCTAGAGGGGCGGGGCCTAGACCAGAGGGGCAGGCCCTAGGCTGGAGGGGCGGGGCCTACACAAGGGGGGCGGGGCCTATGCCGGAAAGATGGGCCTAGGTGGGAGGAGCGGGGCCTGTGTCAGAAGGGCGGTCCTAGGCCGGAGGAGCGGGGCCTAGGCCAGAGGGGCAGGCCTAGACCGGAGGTTCGTGGCCTAGGCCAGAAGGGCAGGGCTTAGACCAGAGGGGCGAGGCCTACATTGGAAGGGCAGGGCACAGGCCAGAGGGGCGGGGCCTCCACCGGAAAAGCAGGGCCTAGGCTGGAAGGGGCGGGGCCTCCACCGGAAAAGCAGGCCTAGGCTGGAGGGGCGGGGCCTCCACCGGAAGGGCAGGCCTAGACCATAGGCGCAGGTTTAGACGGGAGGTTCCTGGCCTAGGCCGGAAGGGCACAGGCCTAGGCCGGAAGGGGCGGGGCCTCCACCGGAAAAGCAGGCCTAGGCTGGAGGGGCGGGGCCTCCACCGGAAGGGCAGGCCTAGACCATAGGCGCAAGTCTAGACCGGAGGTTCGTGGCCTAGGCCGGAAGGGCAAGGCCTAGGCCGGAGGGGCGGGGCCTCCACCGGAAGGGCAGGGCCTCCACAGGAAGGGCGGGGCGAGAAGGCACCAATAAGGGGCAAAGGTTGGTTGCCTCGCGCGACCTCTCCCCTGTTCAGCAGGCACTCGCAGCCACTGCGCCTGCGCCCGCCTCCCCGTGACCCCGGAACGTGCCGCGCCCCGCCCCACGCACCCACGCAGCCACGCACGCACTCTCCGCCGCCGCCGTCGCCAGGGGAAACCGGCGGCCACCCTCAGCGCCGCCGGGAGTGTGTGTGTGCGTGTGTGCGCGCCGGTCCGCCCGCGCCATGGCGGCCGAGGCCCCGAAGGCGCCGGTGGGCCCGCTGGTGGGCGCCGTGGTGCAGGGCACCAACTCCACGCGCTTCCTGGTGTTCGACGCGCGCACGGCCGAGCCGCTGGGCCACCACCAGGTGGAGCTGACGCAGGACTTCCCGCAGGAGGGCTGGGTGGAGCAGGACCCCAAGGAGATCCTGCAGTCGGTGTACGAGTGCATGGCGCGGGCGTGCGAGCAGCTGCGCGGGCAGGGCGTGGACCCCGCGGGCATCCGCGCGGTGGGCGTGAGCAACCAGCGCGAGACCACCGTGGTGTGGGACAAGCTGAGCGGGGAGCCGCTGTACAACGCGGTGGTGTGGCTGGACCTGCGCACGCAGGCCACGGTGGAGAGCCTGAGCCGCCGCGTGCCGGGCAACAGCAACTTCGTGCGCTCCAAGACGGGCCTGCCGCTCAGCACCTACTTCAGCGCCGTGAAGCTGCGCTGGATGCTGGACAACGTGACGGCCGTGCAGAAGGCCGTGGAGGAGGGCCGCGCGCTGTTCGGCACGCTGGACTCGTGGCTCATCTGGAGCCTCACGGGCGGCGCGAACGGCGGCGTGCACGGCACGGACGTGACCAACGCCAGCAGGACCATGCTCTTCAACATCCACTCGCTCGAGTGGGACCGCGAGCTGTGCAGCTTCTTCGAGGTGCCCATGGGCATCCTGCCGCAGGTGTGGAGCTCGTCCGAGGTGTACGGGCGCATCAGCTCGGGCGCCCTGGAGGGCGTGCCCATCTCCGGCTGCCTCGGGGACCAGTCCGCGGCGCTGGTCGGGCAGCTGTGCTTCCAGGAGGGGCAGGCCAAGAACACGTACGGCACGGGCTGCTTCCTGCTGTGCAACACGGGCCGCAAGTGCGTGTTCAGCGAGCACGGCCTGCTCACCACCGTGGCCTACAAGCTGGGCAAGGACAAGCCCGCGCACTACGCCCTGGAGGGCTCCGTGGCCATCGCGGGCGCCGTCATCCGCTGGCTGCGCGACAACCTGGGCATCATCGAGAGCTCCGAGGAGATCGAGAGGCTGGCCGGCGAGGCCGGCACGGCCTACGGCTGCTACTTCGTGCCGGCCTTCTCGGGCCTCTACGCGCCCTACTGGGAGCCCACGGCCAGGGGCATCATCTGCGGCCTGACCCAGTTCACCAACAAGTGCCACATCGCCTTCGCGGCGCTCGAGGCCGTGTGCTTCCAGACGCGCGAGATCGTGGAGGCCATGAACCGGGACTGCGGCCTCCCGCTGAGCCACCTGCAGGTGGACGGCGCGATGACGGCCAACCGCGTGCTCATGCAGCTGCAGGCCGACATCCTGCACATCCCCGTGATGAAGGCCCCGCTCACGGAGACGGCGGCGCTCGGCGTGGCCATGGCCGCGGGCGCCGCCGAGGGCGTGGGCGTCTGGAGCCTGGAGCCCCAGGACCTGGCCGGCGTGCGCGCCGAGCGCTTCGAGCCCCAGATCCAGGCCACCGAGAGCGACTCGCGCTACGCCACCTGGAAGCGGGCCGTGGAGCGGTCCATGGGCTCCGTCACCTCCCAGGCCGCCGACGCCGCCAGCGCCGGCCCCAGCATCTTCTCCAGCATGCCCCTGGGCTTCTACATCGTGAGCAGCATGATCATCCTGATCGGGGCCAGGTACATCGCCTCCGAGCCGTGACCTCGCCTGGGTCGGGGGGCGGTCCCCCCCAAGGCGTGAGCTCTCGCGAGCTCTTTTTTATTATTTATTTTTGTTTTTTCATTCATTCTTTCTTTTTTTTGCACGCTGAAAAGAATCCAGCAGTTCTCTCTCTCTCTGTCTCTCTGAAAATGCACCGGCACTGTCAAACGGACTCTTGGTTTTTTTTGTTCGTGTAAAAACACCGGCCACCTGACCGGTGAGAATCCTGCAAGTAGACTTGTGGCTGGAAATAAAGAAAGCACAGTGGAAAGAAAAAAAAAATGCTGTAGAAACATGTGGTGTGTTCTCTAGCATCTGCTGTTTCAAGGTTGGGCCGGCTCTCTTGAGAGAGCTGCCCTCCCTCCCTCCATCCCTCCCTCCCCCCCTGGTCCACTGGGGTAACATTCTGCCCCCCCATCCTTGCTAAATTATAGGATTTTCAGATTCTACCCTGTGAAATCTTTTGTCAGACATGTTCTAAACATAAGACACACTTATGGACTGCAGATTTGGTTCTCTGCGGCACACACACTCGATGGAGAGCTATAAGGAATCTCCTAAAACTGAAGGACTTTTTTTTTTTTTTTTTGAGACAGAGCCTCACTCTGTTGCCCAGGCTAGAGTGAGTGCCCTGGTGTCAGCCTCATTCACAGCAACCTCAAACTCCTGGGCTCAAGCGATCCTCCTGCCTCAGCCTCCTCCCGAGTAGCTGGGACTACAGGCATGCGCCGCCATGCCTGGCTAATTTTTTCTATATATATTAGTTGGCCAATTAATTTCTTTCTGTTTACAGTAGAGACGGGGTCTCGCTCTTGCTCAGAGCCGGTTTCAAACTCCTGACCTTGAGCGATCCTCCCGCCTGGGCCTCCCAGAGTGCTAGGATGACAGGCGTGAGTCACCCTGCCCCGGCCTCCCAGGAAATCTTTTATCAAACATATCCCAAACATAAGACATACTTATGGATGTAGATTTGGTTCTCTGGGGCACACACACACTCGATTAAGAGCTATAAGGAATCTCCAAAAACTGAAGGACTTTTTATTGTTGTTGTTTTAAATAAACCCCACAAGCCCTTTTCTCTACATACCAGAAAGACCACATCTTCACTGAATGTTTAATGGAAACATTTGCTAAATTCTTACAATAAAAATTTAGTGTTCCCATAGCTTAGTTTCCTAAGAAATATTTGCCAAATTGAAATTCTGGGGACATTTTACATGCTCTCACTAATTACACCGAATTGTTGCATGAGTCCTTTATAGAACAGCTCATTTATAAATTGATAGCACATTATAGCCAGTAGGTTACCAAAGGGATGGTCCTAGGCAGACCACATATAGAAACATTTTAGTGTAAATAGCTATATACATTTTGGGGCAATATACACACATATTATGTATCAGGAGAAACTTTTTCCTTACTGTCTTAGCTGGAGGTATGTTGAAGAAAAGAAAAAAAACTATGGAAAACTGCAGTAAATACTGTTTTCAAGCAGGAACAAAAATAACAACAATATAGCATGAAGTTTAAGCACACATAAAAGAGAACAATAGCAAATAAGGGAATAAATGGAAGTGTAATATTTTGAAATTCACATACAGGAAGTGGCATAATATCACTTGAAATTACACTGATAATTAAAGACGTACCCGATAAATTCTAAAATAATGAAACAAGAAGTTATAATTAGTAACATAGTTGAGTATACAAGTTTGAACTATAAAAATAGTTCTAAAGAAGGCATACAAGAGATGAAAAAGGAACAAGGAGAACTAGAAAATAGTCACAGGAAAATATATTTAATCCTAGCCATACCAATAAGCACATTAAATGTAAATGGTTGGATTACCCCAATTAAAAAGCAAGATTAGCATACTAGATTTTAAAAGCTATCTCCAAGAAACGAATTTTATATATAAAGAAACAATAGCTTAAAAGTAAAAGGGTAGAGAAAAGATTAGATTAATATTAGTCAAAAGAAATATCAGAAAGTAAATTTCAGAGCAAAAAATATTACCAATAATAAAGAAGGTCATTTTGTAAATTCATCAAGAAGACATAACTACCGTAAAAATTTATGTGCTTCATGATGGAGCTTCAAGATACATAAAACAAAATATGATAGAATTGAGAGAAAAAAATAGATGTACAATTACAGTAGGAAATTTCAAAATCTCTTCCTCAACAACTTTGATAGAAAAAGTAGACAGGATTTAATAAGATCTAGAAGATTTGAACAATGCTATGAAAAAATTTGACTTGACCTTCATACATGTCACCCAATGATAGGAGAATACATATTCTTCTCAAGTTCATCTGAAACATTTGCCAAGATAGACCACGTTCAGGCCATAAACCAAGCCTTAAAAATTAAAAAAAAAAAAAAAATTCATACAAATTGCTATCTGAACACATTGGAATTATAAATCAACAACAATAACAACAAAGATCTCTGGAAAAATCCCCAAATATTTGGAAACTAAGTAACAAATGTCAAGCCTTAAAGGGATAAAGAAGAAAAAATAGAAAATATCTGGAATTGAATAAAAATGAAAACAACATCTCAAAATTTGTGAGATATTGTTAAAGCAGTACTTAGGGAGAAATTAGAATTAAAAGCCTGTAATAGAAGAGAGAAAAGGTGTTGAATCAATGCTTCCCACTTCTACCTTAAGAAACTAGAAATAGAATAATTAAACGCAAAGTAAGTACAAAGAAATAGTAAACATGAGAGCAGTAATCATTGGTATAGATCATAGAAAACAGCGAAAAAATCAGTATAACCAAAAGTTGATTCTTTCAGAAACTGATAAAACTTTTAGCCACAGTGACCAGAAAAAAAAAGAGAGAAGACAGAAATTATCAATATCAAGAATGAGAATGACACCAATACAGATCCTAAAGGTATTAAAAAGAATACAGAAATATGATGAAAACTATATACCAGTGAATTTGACAACTCAGATAAAATGAACAAATTCATTGGAAAACACAAACTGCTAAAACTCAAGAAAAAGATAACCTTATTGCCCTGTATCTCTTAAAAAGACTGAATTTTTAGTTTCAAAACCTTCTTAGAAGGAAAACCCCAAGCTCAAATGCCTTCTACAGTGACTTCTTCAAACATGTAAGGAAGAAAGAATACCCATTCTACACAAAGCTTTCCGGAAAACTGAAAAGGAGGTAATAGTTCAAATTCATTCTATGAGGCCAGGTTTGTGGCATTATGCTGACTCCAACACCAGAAAAAAAGACATTACAAGAAAAAAAAACAAAACTGCAGATCCATTTCCTTCCTAAACATGGATGCAAACATTCTAAAACAAAATTTTGGCAAAGTAAATTTAACGCTCTATGAAAAGAATAATAATAATATGCCATGACCAAGTGAGGGAATATATAAAGACAGGATAATGAATCAGTGTAATTAGAAAAACCAATCAGTGTACTCCTCCATATTAACCACTAAAACAACAGTGATCCAGCACCCCTTGTGTCTTCCTGGCTGGAGCTGGAGCCCATCCTACTAAGGGAAGCGTCCCGAGAATGGAAACACGAGCACCACGTGCGCTCACCAGCAAACTGGTGTTGACGGATCAGCACCTAAGTGGACACACAGGAGTGACAGATGTCGGGTGTCGGGCAGGTGGGAGGGGAGGAGGGGACGGGTGTAGACAGACACGACGAGTGAGACGTGCACCGTCTGGGGGATGGGCACGCTTGAGGCTCTGACTCAAGGAGGGGGCAAAGGCAATATGTGTAACCTAAACATTTGTACCCCCATAATGTGCTGAAATTAAAAAATAATTTTAAAAACCGCATAAGATAGAAGTGCACAGTAACCAGAATGCCTAAAACAGGGGTCCTCAAACTGCGGCCCGCCGAGGACATTTATTTATCTGGCCCGCCGGGTGTTTTTGCAACGCTGCCTGTCCTGCTTAGCAGCCGACTGGTCCCGGGCCCACAGTGCGCATGTGTGGAATGTGCCCGTTCTCTCCAACGGCCTGGGGGACAGCGACCTGGCCCCCCGGTTTAAAAAGTTTGAGGACCCCTGGCCCGAAACAAGAAGACTAACCATACCAAATGTTGGTAAAGATGTAGAAGAACTTAATCTTTCATATGCCTCTTTTGGAAATGTAAAATGGTGCAGACGTTTTGGAAAACAGTTGTGACAGCTTCTTACACAATTAAATGTGCATTTTCCCATATTATCCTAGGTATTTAGCCAAGAGAAATGAGAACATACGTTCAATCAAAGGTCACACTAAAGACACTTATGAGAGCCAGAGACACGAACAGAAACATCATGAACAGGTAAAGAAGTGTTAAAATAGAGAAAGATAAACGATAAGCAAACTATATGTTTGCAAATGATAACAAGACTGCTATGACAGGATGGACAAAGATATACAAGGCTGATGAGTAAGTATCATCACAATGGTGATTGATCTGTTTTTTGTTCAGTTTGGCAACAAAGATATAGTAACTGATGGATTGGTAAAAACTGTAAGCAGTGGATGAATTTTCATAAGTAAGCTAAGTCTGAGGTGCGAAGTAAGCCTAGACCCAAAGATAAATGTGTATGTGGTGTCGTATAGTATAGGATCCTGTTTCCTATAAAATTACAGAAAATGCAAACTATTTTACAGTGACAGAAAGTAGATCGGTAACCGCTTGGAAACTGAGAGGAGACAGGTAGGGGGCAGGAGGCATGATTATAAAAGGGCACAGGCCGGGCGCGGTGGCTCACGCCTGTCATCCCAGCACTCTGGGAGGCAGAACCAGGAGGATCGGCCTCAAGGTCAGGAGTTCGAAAGCCAGCCTGAGCAAGGAGGGCGAGACCCCGCTCTCTACTATAAATACGAAATTAAGTTGGCCAACTAAAAATATATACGAAAAAAAACAAATTAGCCAACGCATGGTAGCCCGATGCCGTAAGTCGCTCAGCTACTTGGGAGGAGGCGAGATGGAGATTCCGGCTGGAGCCCAGGAGTTGGAGTTGCTGGAGCGAGGCTGACGGCGCGACGGCACTCCTCCTACCGGCCCGGGGCGAGCAGAAGTGGACTCTGTCTGCAAAGAAAAAAAAAGAAAAAGTTAAATA